GTGTGTGTGTGTGTGTGTGTGTGTGTGTGTGTGTGTGTGAGGGACAATATTGGTTCAGTACCATCATTTTCACATTGTGAGGACATTTTTGCTGGTCCTCACAATGTCAAAGTGTTTGAGGGTTTAGGTTAGAGACTAGAGACGTGTGTGTGTGTACTTGTGTGTGTATTTTGTTTGTGAGGACTATTTTGAGCATAGACCTGAAGAAGTGAGGGGGGGGGGGGGGGCTACAGGAACGCCTAGATTATGCCAGTGGGTGGCCTCAATAAGATACAAGTACAAAAATGTGTGTATTGGCAACACTGACCTTGTCAGGTGCATTAGACCTGATGGAGGCTAAGTCAAGTCAAAACAATGCCTAACAGGTCCTGGATCAGTTCAGTGGTAAGATGTGAATTGTGGTGCGGTTAATGTTATGGTTGGGGATGAATTGGTCATGGTTAAGGTTCGGGATGAGGTTTGGTTGGGCTGCACACAATGAATGGAAGACAAGGCAAATAGGAAAAGCTGTGCAAACCTGTGTGTGGGTGAAGTGAGGACGGTGGGGACACTTCACTTTTTCAAAGGGCGGATTCAGGCACCTGGTTGTTAAGGTTACAGTAAGGGACTAGGAAATACACAATGCCAATGAGTGTCCTCATTAAAACAGACAAGAATGTGCGCATGTGTGTGTGCGTGAGAAAAAGAACTCCTCATTCCTCATCATGTATGTAATCAGCTGGGGGGGGGGGGGGGCAGTGAGCTCAGTGTGCTCAGTTCTTTGCAGGATGTTTATCATGTCGCTCTCTTATTGCAGCTGCTCTCACTCTCACAGGCTTTTTAATGTTCTACACTGGACTCCAGTCGAGCTGTGGATCTTGCACTTCGTCCTCCATCGCACACACGTTAATGAAAACAGTTTTGCAGTGAGATCAGACAGCACACTGGGACTCACCGTTCCACTGAGCCTGCAGCAAAATTAGTTATTTATATGGTGAATGAGTACGTCCTGTTCATAAGCTTAGATTTCTATAGGCTGTGTCTCTGCAGGGCTAGGAAGGGAGGCTGCTGATAGAAACTCTTTATAGTCTGACCCAGTTTCACAAAAGACAACTGAGACAAACATCTACTGGCCACAGAGTTGTCACATGAAACACAGCTCACTGCATCTCTGCTTGTACAACAAACATAGCAGAGTGTGCACGAGGCTGCGATCTGACAGTGACTGCAGAGGACAGAGGTGTTATGAACGAGCGGCACCGTGTCCTTTGCTGCCCGTCAAACTGCAGGATTTAAAGGCTAATCCCCTTTTCACATACTTCTATAATCACACAAACTCTCAGGTCACATCCACTCACGCTGATGATACGTCCTTTTTACTGAGGGATGAAGAGATAAATACTGAATATTACAAAGCTGTTTAAACAAACCTGGGGTTGACGTAACAAACATGAAACCCACTGAAGAAAAAACATTGCTGTAATGATTTTGAAATTCAAATGCGTCAGACCTCTGCCCATCAAATCATTTCATATCAAGAAATATGTAACGGTTTTATTTCTCTCATTTTTGAACTCAACTATAATGATCTCTGGCCACACAAGCGTTTTGTCTGTGTCAGTTTTAATCCCTGTCGATACTCAAACTTGAAAGCGTGGATGATCATGTGACTGCTCATGTACACTGGGCACGTGAGTGTAATAATAGCTCATCGGCTCTAAAACTCCAGAGCAGTGTGGACGCCAGGAGTATATGTGAGTATTCAGCATAATGTGCTGAGCTGAAACAGTCAGATTTAGTGATCCGTGTATGTTGGTCACACTCAAGTCATGATGTCATTTATAATAACTCACTTCTTGACTTCTTTTTGACTTCAGGGTAAAAACCTCATGTGAATTATACCAACTGAACAGTTTCACAAGTCAACGTGAAGCTGGTGTTTTGAGCTCAGTATTTACTAAACAGTCTCAGTGAGACAGTCACAGTGCAGGTGTATCTTGGTTCAGAGCACCTCCACTTTGTGTCTCTTGACAGACAGAGTTCTGTGTCTCCCGCTGAACGTCCCTTGTCTCTTCGATGAGTCCATTTTTAAACACACCAGGTGTCTTCTCCTTCCTCTGCCGTGTTAATTGTTCCACCACGACAGGAGGCCCAGCCCCGGCTCACAGATGGTTCCCTGAAACAGCAGCACACGGGGTCAGGAGGATGTGAGTTGGATGAACGTTTGACACATTGATCAAAACCCTGCTTCAACACTTTTAACAGGTTTAACTTGTGCTCGTTTTGAGGTGTGTTCTTACAATCAGAGTGTACGGTGCCTCCTTCTTCACCCCGCCATCTTCTGCTGGTGGCGCCGTGGGCTGTCCCGGTTGAGCCGGTGTCTCTGGCTCTGCTGAGGCCGGGCCCGTCGGCGATGTATCCACGAAGACTTCATCCGTCACACGGAAGCGGATCTCCTCTCCCTGGTCCATGTAGAGGTCGTGGGCCCCCTCGTCTGTCTCATACTCCCAAAGCCAAACCTGCTCTGCTTCATCGCTGACGCTGCAGCTAAGGAAGACGGGACAGACCAGGGGCTGCAGCTACATTAAAGTAAGATTTCAATATTTTCCCATAATGCTTCTGCCATTATAAAGTGTGAGTTGTAGTACGACACCTACAGCTAACTAAAGCGAGAATGTTGCACCGATTTAATTACATCACCTGCAGACAAACTTAACTTCCTCCAAGATCATGAAGAGAGCAGACGTGTTTTGAGATACTGGATCCTCAACTACCTCAACAGAGAAGAAAACAACAAATCAACAGAGAAGACAACAACCCTCCACTGAGCAAACAACAGAAAACTGCATCAACTAATTCAACTTGAGCACATGTTACTCAAAAGCTTCCAGAAGTAGATCTGCTCTCTCTTATGGACAAATGGAGCAGAAACATCTGAAACTAAGGCTCTAAAATGCGCGAAACAAATAAAATTGAATATGAAACAATAAGAAAAGTATCACAGGGTGCAACAATTCTCTCTAAGCGCAATTAACTGAATGTGATAGACGAGGAAAAACTGCACTTCTGATGACATCACAACACTCGAGGGCAGGATACAACTTGGCAGGTTGTTGAAGTGACTCGGGCGGAATGAGGATGTCGTCGAAGAAGCCCATCGTCACTGAAACAGACAGAAACCGTGTTTACAGAGGAATCAAGAGAGAGTAACTGTGCGAGTAAACCAGATCTGATTGGATTTGAAAATACATTTATGGTGATTTAAGTTAAAAAACAAGAAAGTTACCGTGAACTCCCTCCTGACTGCAGTACTTGATCTTGCCGACCAGGATCTCATCGAGGAAAGGGTGAAAAACAACATACCTGAAATGAACTGACGGAGAGAGGGAGGGAGGGAGGGAGGGAGGGAAATGAATCGTGGGTAAAATCCAAAAACATATCATCATAATTTATTTCCTCAATCTTGATTATAAAACATCTTGAAAATAAAACCGTGGGAAAAGTTGAGCTACGGATTTGATCTTATTGAACAATGTGGCTGAGAAGGAGATTCTGTGACACAGCCGCATCACATCGTACCTTTGGTGTGTGAGGCTCCGTCTCCAGGGAATATGTAGGAATCATCCAGTTTAGTGATGTCGTACAAGCAGATGCAGAGACCGACACTGTAGACGACCTGAGGTGACGAGGAGAGAAGTTCACAATGTACAGTGATCAACAACTTGGTCGCATTGAACTCATAGCATTAACATGTGCATGTCGTGTTTGGTGTTGTGATATTTAGGGTTTCTGTGGGTTAGATTTATTATGAGCATTTTAAAATATTTGATACTGAGAGCGTTCCAGTCTGTGGAGGACAGAAGAGGAAGAGGAGAACTGATGAGGTTAAATACGATCACTGCATACGCTCCAAACAATTATTCAATTCATCAACAGAGATTTGCATCTATTTTAATAATGAACCCATTATTTGAGCCAGAAATATCAAAACGTTCTCACAGCTGGAGACTCGAACTCTCAAAGGTGTGTCGTCACAGAGCAGCTGGGGAGGATCGAAACGCACCTTGTTGGCCAGTTTCTTGTTGAGCTCCTCGGCGATGGCCTCGTTCAGTTGTCGCTGGAAGTTCCAGGGAGGAATCCTGACAGTGTCGATCATCTCCACCAGCACGAACATGATGCAGACACACACACACACACACAGAGACACACACAGTACACAGGTTGTGTGTCTCTGTCAGTCTGACAACAACTCTTCTTTTTCACCACAACATTCACTCTGTTACTTTCTCTGCGGATGACAACACGAGAGAAGTGGACAAATATCGACTATCGCCACAAAACTACAGTAATCTGCAGCAAACTGACGTCGCCATGTTGCCTCCATGTGATTGTTTACGACAGCGGGTTTTTACGACATGTCGCAAATCTTAAAGGCACAGTGCACGTTTTCAATCCTGGTTGTTATTGTTGAAAATTATAAAAAAAAATTCTTTCTTCTCCACAGCGAGATGTTTGGTTGCTATGATTTTAGGTATAACATTAAAAAGATTGATTAGATATTCAGTGATATGAATCAGATATCATATGAAGATGTTCATGTGATTATATGTTTAAAAAGTTCCCAGTTCTTTTATATTACTGCATAAATAATTGGTATCGTCTATTATCTGTGTTAAAGTTTGTATCTTTGCAGTATTTTAGTTTTTTTTTCCCGCGTGTCATTTACAAGTTTTGTACAAAACTTAGTTTCTCTTTATTTGAAGTATAATCAGACCCAAATTCTATGAATATACACAATAGTTTCAGGTGACATACTGTACATCAAAGCTGGTAAATACTTTATAGAGTATTGTATAAATATACTAAATTGCTTGTTTGGAGCTTCACAGACATTGAACATAACTGTGTTGTGCAATACATATGCAGCTATACACAGATATTTAATATACAGGTGCACACAGGTATGTTCATATTTCTTTGAGTTAAGTGAACATGGCTGAATAAACTGACTTGAAATCAGCTCAGTAACTGAAGCCTGATGTTTTGTTCACACCACAACACTGAGAATCCAATATTCTTCTCATCAGATAAAGAAAAAGACAAAAACCTTCACTTCAGAATTTCATCTTTATTAATTTTCCATTTATATTATATTCTCAATCTTGCAAGCTACAAAACTGCAGGCATTCTGAACCATCTACTTTTACAAAAATCAAGTTAGATGAAACAGGAGTGTGAGAGGGAATCACTGTTGAATGTGAAAGAGTTGATTTTAAAACAATCAAAGAAATCAGACGACGCCTGACCCGACAGAGCACACCTGAGCACAACGTAACGCCTTCATCAACAACATTACTTGACTCGACAGTTTACAGTAGCGCTGTACAGGATTCAGTATTTTGTTAGGTAACAACACCTGATACACAATCAACTTATTATGGAGATGGTGATATTTTTGAAATGTGACATGAAAATGAGTGATTTTTCAAAAATAACTCATGGGTTACCATTATGTCGTAACATTTTCATTAGGCATCTTTGGCAGCATATACGATACACTGATTAGGAGTGTGTACGAGCTTAGTGAGGGCATGAAATAGGTTTTGTGATGATTCCGAAGTGTTGAGCAGTGAAGTTCATTTACAGCGGACTTTATAAGGAGTCACTTATGTCCATAAATGTCCTTAAAGTTGAAAACCTTTTCATCTTCAGAAAAATTACAAGTCCCTTTTCACTGTCAGAGCCCAGCAGCAATCAACAGCTACAATCCAACGTTTGTGCTTTCATTCAACACACAATCCACAAGTCAGCTGATCTGAGGAAACGTTAGGTTAATGTTGATCCTGTTTAATAAACAGCACAGGGGCGACTCTTTATCATCACATGTTTACATAAATGACACTACAAGAGGTCACAAACAGAGGCATCATACAGCATGTTATTTGTTCTATTTGCTAATAACTGTTAATTATTTATGTACACATCTCTATACAAAGGTCAGCTATATATCACAAACCTAGTGATTCTTTAGTACATAGGGATTCACCTCAGGAACTGTATCAATCCCAAAAGATTTTACTTTTACAAGAAGTGACAGATTTAGACTCTAGAGACAATCTGACACCAGTGTAGATAACCCCTCAGATACTTCCAAATACCAGGTCTGTCATTTTAAACCAGATAAAACTGCAATTTTCTTTTTCCACTACTCTAACACAGCAGTTGTGCTGTACCGCCATTGAATGTCTTTGTTTAACTGTTCTCTTTACTGCTGCAACACAGCAGAACAATAAGTCGGGAGACCAGTGTTGCCAATAACAACACTAGCAATAGGTCATACAACAACGACAGCTCGGTCCAGTATCAGGAAGGGAAAAATGGTTTCAGAACATGTCCACTGATGAGGACGACTACACCCACAGGACAAGCAGTAATCCCAAATAAATCATATCAGCAAAGACGTCAAATATCCCTAAGAAAATATATAATCTCACTAAGTATGCATCATGGCAAGACTCTGGTTTCTATATAAGAATGATCACAAGTCTGGATCTTTCTACTGTCTGAAAACTCGTGTACGAATAATGAACTTCACAAGCTGTATGTCATTCCCCTGGAGTAACACACAACAGAAGTACGCTGAAGAGGAAAACCACACATAGCAAAGCACATCTAAAAACGACATCACTAACTCTACAAAGTGCTAGTGTACAGGCGACTGAACACTAGATTGTGCGTTACTTTGTGTAAGAGGACTGCAGGCCTTCTCGTACTGCGGAGGACCAAACCTCAACCTGACAGAACATTCCGCTCAGAGACAAACTGACAGACTGTCTCCTCCCACCACAGACACACGAGACAATTTGACACTGAATGATGATGTGAGGACAAACCGAAAAACTGGGAATTTAGCACAGAGAAACCAAACGGACATAATGTACGATCGGCAAAACATCTGAGCTGGAGGACCAACTGATCCGTGAGGCTCCGGGGAAAAGACCAAACATCTACTACAGAAGTGTAGAGGTTTCTCTGGACTAGAGGTGATTTTTAGCTACTGGCAAACAGGATTCCGTGTGTCTATACACCAGAATTTACATAAAATCTTGCCCGTGCTTCTTTACAGTAAAACAAACTTGATTACAGCCTGTTAAACCAGATATCAGGTGGTGATTTGGATTGCATGAGCCGGGCTGGTGAATCCAAAAAGAGAGGTGGCAAGGGCAAAGACACACACAGACACACACAAGACAAATAACAGATGGAAAGAAAGAAATGGCAGTATAAGTGCGAACGCAACAGCAGCATGTGCTCTGATTTGTTGTCCTAGTCTGAGAGAGACGACACAGAAATGTTTTCACACAACAGGGTGTTAAATCAAGCTATAAGACAGAGGGCCGAGCATGAGAAGAGCAGCAGCGGGTGCACACAGATTCACATGTTGACTGATGACAAATGAAGAAGTGTAAATAAGGTAGAGTGAATACCCAACATCTCAAACTGAGTGAGAGCAGGGTGGGCTGCAGTCGTTGGGTGGAGACTTACAGTAAATAAAAGTGAGTTTAACAGTTTGGCTTAAATCCACGATGACTGAGAAACACTTGTTTAAGTACATTCGTGTGAGTGAGAGGACTCAGCTTATTGAGCTGTTGGGATGGATACATGTTAAAAGGAGTCTGTGTGAATCAGGTTTGTATAATGCTCAATACGCTCATCACATAGAGTATACAGTATATACTAAATCTGATTATTCATGTTAAAGCTTCCAACAAGCCAGTTTCTGCGGGGGGGGGGGACATGGAACAACTTCCTCTTTACAGAAATAAATAAGTCAAACACAGTAACACAGTGGATGAGCATCTGTGAATGAAATGGTCGACTCGATGCTAAATTAACAAATAAGCTTCACAAATCTCAATTTACACTGAGGAGTGCTGCTCGTACGTGATGCACTGCTACGCTTCCGTTTAAGTCTGCCTGTCGCTTTCGTTCACAGTAATCTGTCTGTGCATGTATGTGCTTGTGTGTGTATGTCTGTGTGCGCTTTTCATCTGTACAGCGACCTTGTGTGTCTGTGGTCTGTGTGTGTGTGTGTGCTGTGTGTGTGTGTGTGTGTGTGTGTGTGGTGTGTGTGTGTGTGTGTGTGTGTGTGGTCTGTGTGTGTATGCGTGACTGGAGCTGTCCCCACATCCAGCCTGGTTACCATCTACCGTTAAAACTGTCTCTCGTTCTTTGCGTAGCCCCTCTCTATTTTGCTCCTCCCTTTTTTAACCAACACCAAGGCCCCTCCTTCGTCCTCTCCAACCAACTACTGGAGCTCCTTCATCCTGTTGAGGGCAGAGCCAGCTTTGAACCACTCGATCTGCGTCTCATTGAAGGTGTGGTTTAGAGAGATGGACTCCTGGCTGCCATCGGCGTGCTTGATCACTGCTGTCAGGGGCTGGAGAGGAACACCAGAGGCAAACAGGAATCACATGTCAGTCATTTATCCAGTTTTTCTTAAACATAATGCTAGGGGGAGGTCGAGCTGTCCGTTGGATCAATGCTTCATTAGTGCAGAATATTGCTCACCTTGCCGGGGGACAAGGATTTCAGGCCAGAGATTGAAATCTTGTCGTTGGGGCGAATTTTGTCGTAGTCGTTGGGCTCGGCAAAAGTGAGAGGAAGCAGGCCCTGCTTCTTCAGGTTGGTCTCTGTGAGGGAGAAGAGAAAAATAAAGGATAACAGCAAGATACTGACTCGCACTTAATATCATGTAACCAGAGACGAGCTCTGTCTGTCAGGATTATATTTGATGCACAGAAAAACAAGGTCAAAGAGAATAATGCAAGTTAGTCTTTTTCAGAGTTATTGATCAGCAGCACTTCTCATGATGAATTAGCTGCTTCATTTACACAAAATCCATATTGTTGGAAATCGTTTCCCCCCGAACACCGAATGATTTTGAAAGCTCTATTCTAAACAGTCAAGCTCTCGTCTATTTATTTACCCACAAACCTAAATCCAACCTCCTATATACAAAACAAACTTATGTTCTGTAATTATAACTTGCAGAATCTCTTCGACATTGCAAGAGATATATTTATTCTAGCTGCCTGTAAACATTAATACATTGAATAAACAAATTACAACTATTAAGAGAGTTTCCTCTAACATTCATAGCAAGTGAAAGCAGCTCTAGACAAATTCATGTTTGCATGATTTACCGTGGATTCTGGCGAAGCTCTTGACGATGATGGCGCGTCCTCCAAGGTGCCGTGGCTCCAGGGCAGCATGTTCTCGGCTGGACCCTTCACCATAGTTCTCGTCTCCAACCACCACCCAGTTCACTCCACTGGCCTGGTTTCAGTTTAACAAAAAAAGTTAAACTGCTGTCAGGAAAGGACAGAGTTGGCAAATAAAGGCAACAACACAGAAAATCCAAGAGGCTTTTTTTAGTTTAATAGCAAACAGAGTTTGCTATTTTAAGATTCAAGTCACTGAATCATCCAGAGAATATAAAAAAAAAAAAGAAACTATTCAAACATCAAACTCACCTTGTAGTGGCGGGCCACATCCGGCACACCTCCGAACTCTCCTGTCAGCTGGTTCTTGACCTTGTTGACGGCATCGTTATCAATGTTGACGGCTCCAATCAGCATATTGTTAGAGATGTTGTCCAGATGACCACGGAATTTCAGCCAGGGGCCGGCGGCACTGATGTGGTCAGTGGTGCACTTTCCCTTCACCTACAGCAGCGGAGGAAAAGACGAAGAGGAGGATGAGAATCGGAGGGAAGAGATTTCAGATTCTAATTCGCTGTCTCTCAGTCCTTCATGTAATGTTTCATTACAATGAAGGAACATCCAACACACAGCAATAGTGTGTTTTTATATAACTTGTTGACAATAATAATATTGTTAAATCACAACTTTCCCTCCACTTCCTGCTCACCTTGATGAGGACACTCATGTCCTCCAGGTCTTTTCCATGCCACTTGTCAAAGGGCTCCAGAAGCTGCAGACGGTTGCTGGAGGGGCTCACGTCCACCTGAAAACCAGATCAGGGAGTGAGACAAAGTATAAATGCAAAGGGGAGTGAAACAGACAACTTCAAGATTAAACTGAATTTCAACTGAACACAAATTTTTCTGTCATATTACATAATGGTGTCTAATCAATTGAATGACCTTGACTGAGCCGCCCTCAGCTGGAGGGTGCTGGTAGGTGTCCTGGCCCGGGTCGAAATCTCTGGAGGGGAGCTCGTCACCAGTGGGAGGTTCCAGCTTGAATTTCTCTCCGGTTGGGCTGGTCAGGTAGTCGGTCTCAGGGTTGAAGTTGAGGGTTCCAGCGAGGGCCATCGCGGTGACAATCTACAATGAATTACAGAGCAATTAGTATGGAAATGCATTTAGATCTGTACGAGGAGGGACAGAGGCTGCGCATATGTCACTGCGTCTTTTGTGTAACTGAGCTTGTACTTTCCTTCATGTTCAATGTGACCTACTTACCTCAGGAGAGGTGACAAAAGCGTGAGTAGCCGGGTTAGCATCATTCCTGGCAGTGAAATTCCTGTTGAAGGATGTGACGATAGTATTCTTCTCTCCTTTTTTCACGTCCTGCCTGAAGAAAACAAAATGTAGAACATATCTTTTATTTAAACTTAATCACTAAGAGAAATGTTCTATTTGATCTCTAGAGATTAATTTGTATCTCGATCCTTTGCGGTCAGAACCACTGTTAGCAGTCTTAAGCAATATCCATTACATCCAACAATTTGAAACGGTTTTCTTAGACCATAAATGTGTTCAAAGTGAGGAGATATATTCTATGTAATTGTAACATTTTGGCCTCTGATTGATGCTGTAGGAAAGTGAATCAGGAAAATGGGAATCCAATTGATGAGTATGAATCTGTTTTCATGCCAACATATCACTCTATTTAGATTTTTATGTCTTGATCCAATGGTAGTTTCAGAGGTCAGCAAAACTGTTAGCAACTGGAATTACTCTCTCGCACTCGTATACTTGAACCAGTCTGAGACCACGGAGACCCTGAATCAGTTTAACCTCGAGTGAACATTTGTACAAAATCTGAGGGAAATCTGAGACATTACGTTCACAAATGCGTCTGCATTTGTTTATCATTTCATCATCATTAACACCCACAGTATGTTCTCTGGGAAATCCAGTCATTAGTTTTCACAGTTAATTTTCATTAACAAGTGTATATGAATAAGGGAGGAGATACAGATCTAAAACTGTTACCAAACAAAAGGTCACCAATGTTTTAAGAAATCATCATCTGGAGAATATTTGTTAACAGTGTGGCCGGTAGTTATCGAAATATTCTGCCCTGGGTCAAAGTGTTTCAGAACAGAGAAAGTAACAGTCATGACATTGCTGCTAATAAAAATGAGGTGCTCACCTGTCCCACTGTCCAATGCAGGGTCCACAAGCATTGGCCAACACGATTCCGCCAACATCATTCAGGATCTTGGACTAAAAGAGGAACAACGTGATTTAGTTGAAATAATTTCCTGCGTATTTCCCACACAGGATAACAATCTAACTCCTATAGGTCACATACTGAAATCAGCTGTTGAGATTAACTGACTCACATATCCATCCCTCTCAATGGTGGCGCGGATCTGCTCAGAACCGGGTGTGACAGTGAACTGGGCCTTGCACTTCAGACCTTTATCCAGAGCCTGCTTGGCCAGAGACGCCGCTCGGCCCATGTCCTCGTAGCTTGAGTTGGTGCAGCTGCCGATCAGACCTGCACGAGACGAGTTAAATGTTTGTTAACAGGCGCAAGAGGAAACTGACAGAATATACAGATACAGCAGCCAGTTTAAAGAGCTCATCAATTTTTAATAACACAAATTAAAAAATTAAATTGGAGGACAGAAAAGCAAAAGATAAGCAAGTCTGTTATTAACTGTAATAATTATACTGCGTTCACAGCTCATTCTGGTAAGTCTCTCTGAAAGCAGGAGCTGTAATGTGATCTGATCATATCTGCTCAATAACACAGGTAGAGCTAGAACAAAGAAAGAAATATCACATTCCATTAGACAAGGCAGAATATATGTTAAAATGTAAGGAAATATGGCTGTGTCACGGATACTGACCAACTTTAACCTCCAGAGGCCAGCCGCTCTTCTTAGCTATGGCCCCGATCTCAGACACAGGGTGGGCTAGGTCAGGGGTGAATGGTCCGTTGATATGGGGCTTCAACTGTAAGAGGAGGAACACAAGGCAGAAGGAAGAACACTGATAAGTACTTATTCTGCCTCATGCACCATCATGACCACATGATAAAGAACGAGACGAAGCAATGAAGGTGAAAAAATGAGAAGTTTGGAACATGCCGATAATAATGTTGTGCACTGCGTAACTAATGTCAGGGCTTTAACTCACCTCACTCAGGTTGATCTCAATGACCTGGTCGTATTCACAGCCCTTATCTGGGACCAGGTCTTCCTGGAACTGATCAGACACAGAGGCGATGTCTGACAGGGGATGGAGAAGGAGAAAAGGTTGTTAATGAGTTAAGACACATTGAATGAAGATTAAGCAAACAGAGACAGTAAGTGACTGACCTCCACGGCCGGTTTTCTCCATGTATGTCCTCATGCGGTGGTTGTAGGGAAAAACAGACGTGGTGGCTCCAATCTCAGCGCCCATGTTACAGATTGTCGCCATTCCTGAAAATCAAAGCGGTTGATTTCATGTCTCAACATAGATATGATCTTTCACCAACAGTTTGAGTCTTGTTATGTATCTTGTCTTTACCAGTGCAGGAGATAGAGTCGACTCCAGGACCATGATACTCCACAATGGCTCCAGTGCCGCCCTTCACAGTCAGGATTCCAGCAACCTTCAGAATGACGTCCTTTGGAGAGGTCCAGCCTGAGAGGGTTCCTGTCAGCTTCACTCCAATCACCTGAAGGAGCAAAGCACACAGTCTTAAACTGATGGACACAAGACACAATCAGATTCAAATACATTTACATGATATCACATGATGCCAAAAACTCACATTGGGACACTTGAGCTCCCAGGGGATTCCAGCCATGACATCCACAGCATCAGCTCCACCCACTCCAATACAGATGGCCCCCAGGCCACCGCCATTGGGGGTGTGGGAGTCTGTGCCAATCAGCATCACTCCAGGATAGGCATAGTTCTCCAGGATGATCTGATAAGAGGATCTTTCACAGTCAGTCACACATTTTCCCTGTGTGACTCTGAACATTTTGGACTGCTTTCTAGAAATATTAGCTTCTTTAAGCACTAGAAATGTAAGTAAGGAACTGCAGACACTGTGTGATGGTGCAAGTTCAGTTACAAGATTTTAATAAGGGATGTTTGTGCATTGTGAGGTGTAGAAAAGTCAGAAAAACATTCATAAGTCAGTGTTCTTCACCTGATGGATGATGCCTGAGCCTGGTTTCCAGAAGCCGACTCCATATTTGGCTGCAGAAGTTGCAAGGAAGTTGTACACCTCCTGGTTGACCTCCTGTGTAATGAGTAATTAAAGAGGTGATGTAAAGTCTATTCATGTAATTATAAAGGAATAAACTTGAGTGCAGCACTTAATCCTAAACCCTGTTACTCAACGAGACCTTCAGGGATGTGGTAAATCTGCAACATGCAACCTCCCCATGTAAATTGAAAGAAATAAGAATTTCTCTTGTTCCACTTGTTCCAATTACTGTAATTGACAAAACCTCATTGGAACAGAGAGATACATTTATGAAGCTTAGCTGAGCTAGTGTTTCTCTTTAACTGCATCTTACCAGCACATTGATGAGATGGTGTGTTATCATATAAACACTTTGCAAGCACACAGGCTTAGTGTTGT